GACCTCAGCTCCAGACTGCTGGGCTTCAAATCCAGCTCTGCTGGGTAGGAGAGATGGCCCCTGGGCTTCTCTCTCTGGCCTCAGTTTCCTCAACTGTAACAAGGAATAAGGGCTGCTTTGAGGGTAGCATGAGACAGATAAGGTGTTACCTATTAGTGTCATTATTGCATTGGTGCCATTTATTGAAGCGGGAAAATCTGTAAAAAAAATAGATATGGGGGTGAGGGAAATAAAAAACAATGCTTTTGATCTGTTAGATTTGAGATGTCTTTTCGACAGTAAAGTGGAAACATCACGTAGGTGGTTTGAGAATGGCTATTTCATATATAGCAGTGGAATGGTATGGACCCTTGCCTTTCAAATTAGGGGGGAAATCCAATTATTTCATCTTCTTTCCTTTGCTTTGATTGGCAGAAGCAGCAGGGGCCTTTCTGAAGGCTTATTCAAAGTGGTTGAAGAGAAAGGATTAACACTATTTTCTGAGAGTGAAAGAAGGAATGCAGTGTTTGAAGAGATGTAGGCATCCTTTCTGTTCCTTCCAAGTCCTCCATTCTAATGAAGGGAAGATAAGGTTGGGCAGGGAGGGTAGACCATAGAAAGAGCGGGGCAACTGGCATCGGGGTGGGAGCTGACCCTGCCGAGGGGAGTTCTCGGGATGGTAGGCTCCCTAAGGAGCAGGCTTTCTTTTAAAAAATTGCAGCCAAGATTAATTGTCCACATAGTTAGTAAAATAACCACTGAAAGGAGTTCTGCTGTCCCTGCCTCTTGATTTGGAAAAGTATGTGTGAGAGTCTGAACACAGAGTGAAAGTTGTGATGGGGCTGCTGAATCTCAAAGCATTTTTAAAAGTAATATTTTTGTTTGATTTCAAAGCAAATGTATAAAACTTAGAAAATACACGAATACACAAAAAAGAACATCATAGTTATATTTTGATATATCCTTATAGTCCGTTTTTCCAGTAATGTATATTTCTTAACATATTTTCACTTCGTGATAGATCCTGGACATTTTCTGATAGCATTACAAGATACATGTATAGATAATTATTACATGGCTATGTAATATCCCTATCTGTGGATGAACCATAACTTATTTATTAATCACTCGTTTTTTAGAATTTGCAAATTTTTCACTTTTATAAGTAAGTTACTTTGAAATTCATATAGATAAATTTTGCTACTTATACACAATTCTTTCCTTAGGATAATTTTTGCCAGAATCATACTTGCATAATTTTAAGGCCTTTAATGCATAAAGCCTCATTGCCCTCCAATAAGATTATACTGATTTATAATCTCAACAGTGTTTGTAAACATCCATTTCTCCACTTTTTGGCTTATACTGGGTATTATAACTAAAAAAGAGAAAATTACTAGCTTAATGGATGAAAAATTGTCCCCTGAATATTTGACCCTTTCTAGTCTTTCCTCCACGACTCACCCAAGCAGAGCCTCTGCCCACTTTTCTAATGACATGTCAATCTTTGCCTTATTCCTTCTTTTTTAATGTTTTATTTAGAAATACTTTCAAACTTACAAAGATTTGTAAACATAATGATAGTACAAAGAGCATCCAAATAGTCTTTAGTCAGATTCACCTATTATTAACATTTTAACTCATTTGCTTTCTTCCTTACTCCTCTCTCTGCTTCTCTCTCTCTCTCCAGACACACACACACACACACACACACACACACACCACGCATGCATGCACAGAGTTTTTTCCTGACTCATTTGAGGATAAGTTACATACAGCATGATCTTTATATACTCAGCCTGCCTTTCCTCAGGACAGTGATATGTACATAAGCACAGTAATCAGTGTCATAAATTTACATATGATACTTTAATCTACCATCTGTATTCCAGTTTTGTTAGTTGGCTTTATAGTGTTTTCTCCTCTGGCACACGATCCAGATGGGGTCAGCCTACTTGGCATGTCTCTTTAGCCTCTTTAAATCTAGAATATTTCTAGTCTGTCTTTGTCTTTTTGTGATATTGACATTTTTGTAGAATGCAGAACCTCTTATGCTCTTTTTAAATAAAATTTTTTCATTTTGTATTGTTCTGCTGTTCTCTCTTGATTGGGTTACATATACTCTGAGCCAGAAAACCACATAGGTGGGGATGTGCCCTTCTCAGAGTATCACACCTGGAGGCACATGATCATCTGCCCTCATTGGTGATGTTAATTTTGATCACCTGGTTAAGGTATTGCTCGGCTTTTCTGCTGTATTATTACTGAGGGTTTTGTTCCCTTTCAGCTAGTTAACTGCCTGTAAGAGACACTTTACATGCAAATATTCTGCTTTTCATCAAAATTTTCCCCTAGGTATAGGATCCATTCATGACTTTTGCCTTACCCAATCTTTACCACCATGATTGCTGAATGATGATTTTTCCCACTCCAGCCCTCTCTCCTCATTCATTAGTCAGCCCTCAGCATTCTGTTTTAAGCAAGAGCCTCCCTTCCTCCCATTATTTATTGACTTATTTATTATTGGTATGGACTCATGAACTCTTATGTTTTTCCATGGTTTGTAATTTATTATTGTTCTTAATTATTTTGGTACACAGATTGTCCTAGGCTTAGCCAGTGAGATGCCTTTCAAGCTGGCTCCTGCAGTATTGGGACAAGATTCCATCATCTTCTATAAGCACTTCCTTGCTTTTTTGGCATAACAAGACGTTTCAGGTCTACCTACTCTGTCCCAGCCTTGGACCAGCCATTTCTCTCACTACTCCTGGTTCCTTTGAATGAGAATGGTATGAGAGACCAAGGTCTCGGCTCTCAGGATGCTCATGTGCTACTTGATTTTGGTGATGGTTTCATGGGCTTATACATATGTCAAATGTATCAAATTGTGTGCAGTTTATTGTATGTCAATACAGTACTTTAATAAAGCTGTTTTACCAAAAGTGGATAATAAAGGAAGAAACATGTTTTTAAAAGACACTTTTTACAAAGCTAAAAGTAAAATATAGTGTTCAGGGATAAAACTTGGGTAATAAAACTCCAAAGAAAATCAAAGTGATTGCCATAAAATTCATGAGGATGGTTATTTTGTAGAGGAAGGCATTGGTTGTGACTGGGACCGGGGCCATGAAGCTTCTAAGGTAGCTGGTAAGGTTTTATTTTTTGACCTGGATGGTATTACAAGAATTTTCTCTGTATAACTGTTTGTCATATGATTGTTTTATGCAAATTTCTGTAGCTTACAATTTTGTCATATTTTTTTTTTTTTTTTTTTTTTTTTTTTTTTTAAAGATTTTATTTTTTCCTTTTTCTCCCCAAAGCCCCCCGGTACATAGTTGTGTATTCTTCGTTGTGGGTCCTTCTAGTTGTGGCATGTGGGACGCTGCCTCAGTGTGGTCTGATGAGCAGTGCCATGTCCGCGCCCAGGATTCGAACCAACGAAACACTGGGCCGCCTGCAGCGGAGCGCGCGAACTTAACCACTCGGCCACGGGGCCAGCCCCACAATTTTGTCATATTTTACAATAAAAAAGGTTTAAAAATAAATGAATGTTGTTCATGTTCATGATGCAAATAAATTATTATTTATTAGAAATTAAAGTCATTCTGCAAGTAAGGCAAATCCACTGATAATCTAATATATTTCATTGTACAGCTTATAAGCTATTTTAAAGTACATTCAGATAATGACTTTTTAATGAGCAATCTATACCAACTTAAACTGGAATATTAATCTTCCTTAATATGTTAACTTTTTGAGTATCGTTACAAAACCCAATCATATAAGATGAAGACAAATGTTTATTTCACTTTTAGAATTTTCATTTGGTTCTTTTTATTGGTTTCTATTTCTCTGCTGAGATTTATTATCTTTTCACGAATTAGAGTAGATTTTCTTTTATGTCTTTGAGCAGAAGTATAACTGCTTCTTCAACAATCCTTGTCTGCTTAATTTCAATATCTGGGTCATCTCAGAATCAGTCCCCATTAACTGTCTTTTCTCTCGAGAATAGGTCATGCTTTTCTATTGCTTCCTGTGTCAAATAATTTTTATTATATTCTGGACATCGTGAATGTTATGTTATAGAAATTCTGGATTCTGTTATATTTCTCCAAATGCTGGTGGTGGTGGCAATGGTGGTGGTGTTGCTTTAAGGAGGCAATTAATTTGATTGATTTCAAACTGCAAACTGTCTCTAGGGCAACAGCTCAAATTTCAGTTCAGTTCTTTTATCTGTAACCAGGCTGCATGGAGTCTGGCCTGTGCACATGCAGTTCAGGGGTCAGCCAGCCATGTGGGCAGAGTTTATCTGCAGTATCTGGGGCTCCCTCTCTCTCTGGCTCTCTCCAATTCAGGGTTCACTCTTTGCTTTCCATCAGCCAAGGTTGCCCCAAATACTGTCCTCTCGTTCTTCAGGCCAGAACGACTTGAGCTTTCTACCAGTTTTCTATCAGAATTTTAATTCCCCTGCACAGTGCAGACTGAGGCCTGCTCTCAGGTTTAAAATTAATTAAGAACAAACAAACAAAACACCTGACCCCATACTGTCACCTCATTCCAAGTGTCAACTTCCGTCTAGAATCTTCCTGCCTTGGGTCACTTTCCAATGCCATCACATAACGGTTTTTCTTTTCTTTTCTTTCTTTTTTAAATGTTACCCAAGTTTAGGCTTTTTACTTAAGTGCAGATCAGTCTGATAGGAGGTTACTTGGCTATTATAGAAGTGGACTGAATGTTTATTTCTTTAGAGAAATAATAATATGAAGATGCTAAGAAATCTTTTCTATGGATGAATAAAATAATGATATAGAAAAACACATATAGTTGTACTAACAGATTAGGTTATTTTTTGGCAAAGAAAAACCCTTTGACTACATATAATTTCAAGGAAATCTGCATATATAATCACAAACAGAATATAAAGATAAGAAAAGTAATAAGGGGAAAACATGTTTTACAAAAAGGAAAACAGTTATGCTTTATTTTGGAATAAAATATTTGAACCTCTTGTATCATTTTAGGAATAAATCTAATGAAGCTGATGACAGTCAAAGAGAACTTAGAAAATTGAAGTTTCAATCCGTTATTTCTGAGTCACGGTATACACTGCAAATTTTTTAATTAATATTTTTAGTAATTGAATTTGATACCATATTTTAAATAACATTTTATTTAAAATGTACTTAGCTTTCCTTATTGTATTATTTACATATGCTATAACTAATTTGAGTTTATAATATCTTAAAGCTGTTCATTAATTTTGCTTCTCTCTGGATGGAAAAATTTCAATATCATAGAAGTATTCGTTTTCTCAGCATTCTTAATTTTTTTAAGTTAAGGTTATAGTCTTTGGTTTCAAATGAGATTTTCACATATCTTTGATAGACATAAAAATATAGTATCTAATGCATATTGGTGGGGTTTTTTTCTCTATTCCATTTTAGGCACACCAGATTGCTTAAAGAAAAAGAAGATTCTTTAGTGGCTTGTCAACAAATATACAAAACTTTACAGGAGGAACTGACTTCAAAAGAAAGGCAAGAAGAAGACATGAAAAGAAGAATTAACCTTGCAGAGAGTGAACTAGAGATAACCAAAACTCTTCTGAGTCAGACAAAGGAACAGGTGGCAACACTGAAAAGCGAAAGGTGCAGGCAAGAATGATTTCTTCCAACAATATTTTATGTTTAAATCAATATGCAATATATATTTGAAATATCAAGGTCCTACATATTTTAATAACAGTGAAATCACAGGACTAAAGATATATTTCACTTGAAAGGTTATCGCCTCCCAGCACCTCATGTTACAGGTGATTAAACTGAAGCCCACATTGGCTAAATGACTGGCTTAAAGTTCCAGCGTTAGTGAAACCAGAGATGGGGCTCACGTGCATTTGGCGTTAGATTTTTATTGAAAAGAATCAAAAAGACCGTATGTGGTACTTAGACTCTGAATATCACCTGGATCAATAATTGGTAGATTCTAGCATTTTCCAATGGAAAAACATCTTTTTATATCACTTTTTCCCTTTATTGGCTTCTACTTTTCCTCTGTCTTTGTTATTTAACACCTCTTATTGAAGGTTTACCACCAGCAAAGGTTGTCACCAAAGCAATACCTCTGGGATTGAGGTGGTGTCAGGCTACTCAGAAGCATATTCGTCTAGGCTTCCTGCATATTTTTGCTCCATTAATTTGTCTTTAACTGTATCTATACTTAACATCTCATCCCTGCTTTCTTTCTTTTTGTTTTCATTTGCCTAGTATGTCTTTACTCATTCTTTCTGAGTCCTTTTGTTTTAAATGCATGTCTGATATATAGCATAAATTTGGGGTCTTTCTTTTATTGGTTTTTATCATATGTGGGAGTCTTTAATAGAAGATATTATCCCATTTACATTTATTGGTATAACTATTGTATTCCAGAAGAACACAAGTTCCATAAGGGCAAGAATTTTTGTCGTATATTATTCTCTGTGCACAGAAGGTGCAATGGGCTATTTGTTTTTCATTCTTCTTATATATTTTTTAGTTTATTTTTTATTTCATTCTTTTCATTTTATAAGCATTTGAATGCTCCTAATTTAGAAGATTTATCGTCTTTTTTTAGTTCTTTATAAGGGCAGCTATTTGCTCCCAGAGGAGGAGTCTGGGAGTGGGGCCATGGGAGTGGGTAGCAGGCAGCTTACAGTTAGATTCACTGTCTCAGGCCTTCTCATCAACACTCTGCCCTGGGCCATATCTGTCTACACGAGGCTAACAGGAAGGCTGTCTAGTTCACAGGGAAACAAGTCTTGTCTCGGGTCCATCCTGGGTGATATATGTTTACTTCTCTTCGGTTGACTAAGATGAACAGCTGTAGGGCTGACTGCCGCCCTCCATTTCTTCCTTGCTCTGCCACACCAATAACCTGCTTCTCACAAAGACCTTGTACTTACATGACCCTTCACTCCATGCCACCACCTCTGACATTTCACAGTGATACAGTTGCTCAGCTCGCAGCATGTTAGAAGCAGCAATTTTATAAGCAGGAAATTTGCAAGAGCAAGGCTTACTAATAAGAAGCTGAAAGATTGACCATGTGGAAGAAGAGAGGAAAAACTATAAATACAAACAAAAACTTTAAAAGCATTGCAATTTAGCCCAATGTGTAATAGAGGCAAATAACCCTACACACGTCAATAACCTTATATTTATAACATGGGTTAATAACTGATGGCCATGATGATGTCCCTGAGTCAGAAAGATTAAAATCAGCTATATACTCTATATAAAAGGTGCAGAATCATATGTGTTAGGGCACTATGAAATAAATAAAAATTTTAAAAGTCTTCTGTTTAGAACTTTGGTTATCTGAGCAATATTCCTATATTCCTATGTTATCTAGAATACCCATTTCCAATGAAGTCAGATTAAGTGGGTTTACTTGTTTATCCAGATGAACACTATCTCTTTCATGGGTATTGAAATGATCCTCCTGTTCAAATGTTTCTGGAACTCTTTTCTGAGGATTGGCTTAAGTGCACATGTTTTAGAATATCCTCAGTATAATGAATGCTTGTCCTTTAGGAATGAATTTGATTTTTACAACAATCTCAGTAGGTTCCAGTGCATATGATGGGAAATCAATCTGGTAAATACCATTTAGGCTCAAAAATAAAGTAAAATGTTTTCTTTTTTTTTTTCTGTGCTTAGTAAATTATCTTAGCTTCAATTTGAAGAAGGCAGTTTTGTGAATGTTTTGAGGATTAATAGCATCATTAGAATAAATACAGAGCTTTCTTGGGGCATTGCTTTGAAGTAGCATACTCACCTGGATATGGATGTGTTTTAGAAATGCAGTGAGTCTAATCTCACCTTCTGTTCTAAGTGTGGACTGAGAAGGAGAATTTCCACTTTTCAGAGAATACACAGATCCCTGAACCGCCTCTTCCTCCTCTTCTCCCCTCTTCTCCTCGTGCGTCCTTGCCCGTGTTTCTTCTTTGCTCTCTGTACATTAGTCCGTCCAAGTGGCATGGTGTTTCTTAGTCCTTTGGCGGCGCTAAATTTACTGACGTGATGTTTCTCACATGATAAAAATAAAAATGTGCTTATGGACCAGTAAGTTATCATATTATCATAGGATTACTCCTAGGCATAAGCACTGTCCTTTTTCTTTGTCCTAGGCCACTTGTCCTCTGTTGTATCCTCAGAGTCTGGCACATGTATCCACTCAATAAATATTTGTTGAGTGAATGAGTGATTTGTTTTGGGTAACAAATTATTTTTTGAGCATTTTCTACATGCCAGGTTCTAGGTACCTGGGGACACAGAGTAGAGAACTAACTAGAATAGTTAAAGACTGTGATGAGGGGTGTGTGGTAGACACTGTAGAAGGGGTGCCTGATTAGGGAAGGGTGGTCATAAAAGTGACTTCCGAGATGAAGCATAAAGGGAGACAAGTAGAAGTCACCGGGCCAAGAGCCAGGGAAGAGCTTTACAAGCAAAGAAGGAGCTTGGTGAGTTCTCGGAAATGGCAGTGACCCGAGGAGCAAGCGTGAGGGAGACGAGTGAGGGCAACTCACACAGAGCCTCACAGGCCTTTAGGGTTTGGGTATTATTTTCAGTGCAATGAAAAGACACCATTGAAAGGATTTAAGCAGAGGAGTGACACTGCAGAAAGACCATTCTGCGGCTGGCTGGAGAAGGGGCAACGGGCAGTGTGGCAAGTCAGGTCATTTACAGTTTTGATATTAATCAAAGGATTTTACATATAGTTAAGCCTAAGAGACAGAGAAAAATGAAAATCTTCAGCTCCTACCACCTGCCAGTTTCTGCTGGGTTATTTAAGCGTCTGTACCAAGTGGATGGCAGCAAAATAGCCAGGGTTTAGTCTATGTTGAGCCCAAGGGGATATGTGAAAGCCGAGTTAAAAAGACATCCTGAAGAATAATGACCTTCCAGAAGCTTTTGACATCACCGTCCAAACCTGCCTTAAAACTTCTGTTACCGAAACTGAAGTGGGTTCCCTCCTGGTGAGTTAAGTCAGACTCTCCACCAGAAGTAGTTGTCTCACAAAGTAAAGTGTATTTGCAGCAAATAGGAGCCCATGAGGGATCACTTCCAGAGTCACGGCTCCCTGGACAAAGGGCAGCAGGGACATTTATTTTGCATGGGGGATGAATATTCAGAAGGAAGAGATGAGTATCCTCTTGTGCAGGCTCAGGTGGAAAACATGCTTCCACACACACTGCAGGCGATGGTAGTAAAGTAACAAGCTCCTCCCGGAGAGATCTTCGCATTAAAAACAAGGCAGAGGTCACAGGCGTGGCTCTTGTGAGGCTGGGTCTGGTTCAGGGTGGCTGGTGATGGCATCTCCTTAGCATAACAGAAGGGAACAGAACAATTTGGAAAAACAATTAAAATATCCAAACCCACCCTTGCCTTCCTGGGCTAACTATTCCGTGACACTGACACTTGTCTTCCCTTGGCTGCAGGGGCAACCTGCTATCCTGCCCCTTCCCTCTCTGTTTTAGTTCTCCACCCCTCCCCCCCACGATGGCCTGGCAGCAGCCATTCTTTAAGGCTCACGCCGGAACCTGGCTTTCCTCGCTCTGCTTTCTCTCCCTCCTTAAACTGTCTCTCTGTTGGGCAAGTTTGCTCTTGAGCTTTGATTCAGAGCCCCAGTGGGACCTCTACATAGAGGTGTCCCTAAGCAGTTAGAGATGTGAAAGTCCCTCCAAAAGAAGAAGCTGGGCTCAGGAGAAAGTTCTAAAATAGAGACCCTTGATGTCACCTGCAGAGATTCTTGTTCAGTAGGACTGGGCGGTTCCGGGAATTTGATACACAGCAAGATCTCAAACCACCGCCATAGAATGATCCACCAACCAGGCCACCACATGTGCTCACAGTGACAGTGAGAGCTTTGTAAATCCACCGCCCCTGCTGAAGTTGCCATTGGGACCGTTATGAAAAACATGCAATTTAGAAGCTATGTAGTTTCAGAAGAGGAGAAAAAGAACATGTAAAGAGCCAGAACTGGGGGCCAGCCTGGTGGCACAGTGGTTAAGTTTCCAAGCTCTGCTTCAGCAGCCCCAGTTCGCTGGTTCGGATCCTGGGTGTGGACCTATGCACGGCTTCTCAAGCCATGCTGTGGCAGGCGTCCCACATATAAAAGTAGAGGAAGATGGGCACAGGTGTTACCTCAGGGCCAGTCTTCCTCAGCGAAAAGAGGAGGATTGGCAGCAGATGTTAGTGCAGGGCTAATCATCCTCAAAAAAAAAAAAAAAAAGCCAGAACTGACTGATCCTAGAAAAAAAAATAAAACTTCTGAATTTGGAGCAGGAAAAGAGTTAATAACTAAGAAATAATTCATACCTTAGTAGAACTCTATTTAGTAATGCATGACTGCCCCACACTCAATGGAGGAAGCTCCATTTGGAGAAGAGACTCCTCCGCAAGGAAGAAAGTAGACCCTTGGGGGGCACAGCTGCTGGGGCGGAGCAGTTCTGGCCTGCTGGGTCACAGACACACCGCGGCTGAGAGAGGGGTCTCCTTTGTGGATGGGGAGGAATGCCCGAGGCACACGGGACAGCGCCAGAGCAAAGTATGGCTGTTATTTAAATTCTGTGTAAAGGGAGCCCTCCGCTCTCCCGTCTGGGCTGCCA